TGATCTCAATCCACAGGGGAGTTTTTGCCCTGGAGGAGATGAGAATGGGGGGTGGGTTGGGGGGAAGGGGAAGGGGGTGGGAGGGGGGAGAACAAGGGAATCTGTGGCTGATATATACAATTAAATTATATTGTAAAATAAAATAAAATTAAATTAAAAAAAAGAAAGCAAAACAAAATGAACCCCATAGTCAAGTACTGATTGGGAACAGAACAGAAGAGGAGGACATGAAAGACTCTAAGACAGTAGGAACGGCTGGTTTGGCAAGGCTGTTAAGGTCTGAGAGGTGAGTATGTACCAGAAATTACTATCTTCGTGTTTGTTTTCCTAGGAAATGTGATAGAAAAAATAAGGAAATCAGGAGAAGAGCTGGCTATATTAGAGGTACCGTCAGACTCAGTGCCCGGCAAATATTTGAAAATGTGGGTCTAAGACCTCAGAATCTATACCTTGGAGTAATAATAAGAGGTGGAATTGAACAAGTTTTCTAAGGGAGATGATGGGAAAGAGGATGAGAAAGGAAAGGACTTGGAAGTCTTCCCAAATTCCAAGCCCACCCTAAGGGTTACACACCTCTCTTCTATTTAGAATTATGGCAACATGGACTACTGATACTGGTACTGATATTTGTTGCCTTGGTGTGTGTGTGTGTGTGTGTGTGCTCCTGTGTGTGTGCTCCTGTGTGTGTGCGCGCATGCGTGTGTGTGTGTGTGTGTGTGTGTGTGTATGTGTGTTCCTGTGTACGTGTGCGTGTGCGTGTGCGTGTGCGTGTGTGTGTGTGTGTGTGTGTGTGTGTGTGTGTGTTCCTGTGTGTATTTCCATGATCTTCCTAGCTTGACATTACTTGCAGTCACTTGCATGCAGACATGTTATATTTTTGGAATGGAGGGAAGAGGAGTTGGCTTCATACTGCTCTTTAGGCATTATGATTATTTGTTATGATACATGCCCATAGAAAGTTGTCTTGGCTTTGCACACCTCACAGGAAGTATGTTCAGTTATAGTTTGGGAGCTTGATGACACGTTGATCTGGAAAGTACAGAGAACAAAAGAGATACAGGGAGAGTAAGCAGGCAGACCAATTACCAGGTGGTGATGTACTAGAAGTTTGAAATAAGATTTTCTAGTGAGATGATGAACAGTTTGAGTTTTAAATAATTGAAAATATATTTAGTAAAAGCTCATAGCTATTAATCATTATCATAACTTACTAAATAAAGTTTGCTGACTATACACTAAATTCCATCTGTCCTAACTGGACCAAAATTTCACTTCAGTCCAACTAAATTGTATTCAACTTGGAAAGGAAAGGAATCCATGTAGCTCCAGGGTCTAGTATTGATGCACAGCACTAAAAGTGATGTCACTTTCAAATTGTTTTAGCAAATTAATTTTAATGATGTCTAATTAACAGAAATGTATCTGGGACTCTATAATTTGGTCCCAGAAGCATGACCATTGACTGAGAATAAGGGGAACTTTTGTTTCTGATTCTGTTCCTCTAATTCTTGCCCTGGACAAATGACTTCTGTTATGTAAGAAAATGATTCTAGATAATTTAAAAGCTCATGCTATTTGAACTGCAATGTTTTCCCCCCAATATCTCTCAACTAAACCAGTGTAAAACACACAAAAAGTATAAGGTGTGATTTGCTTTACCTGCACAGGAGTATTAAGTTCTACCAGAGGTACTCACATTTCTTAAAAACAACAATCTAGAATGTTGATTTCTCATGACTGTGACCGAGGGTGAAGCTCTGAGACTGGAGTCAGCAGATTATATTGAATTTCAATAGTATAGACAGCCAGGCAGCATGATTTTACTTCATTGAAAAGTGTGCTTTACATAAAGATGTCTGAGTTAAGTGGATTTTGATTTGCTGAGTATCTTTGCATCATTTTTAAGTTCTTTTTCTAAAAACAGTTCTCTCCCATAGTTTAAGAAATTAATGTATTTTATGCACCCACTCTGATATATAGCTTTGAGCAGATTGATTGCATGCTCATTTTGAATGTTTGACAAAAAAACACACTGGACATTTAACTTAACTATATTAACTGTGAAGGAATTTTGGGGGGTTTTGAATGGTAACTATCCCAAAAGTTTATTATAAAATATTCAAGTACTAGAACAAACTTTTCAAATTCAATTATAATTTTTATATGGTAAAGTTTCTTCTTTGGGGCATGTAATTGACAAACAATGTTAATCCCCCCCCCCATGCTGTTGCTTTAGTTAGGGTTACTATTGCTGTGATGAAACAGCTTGTCTTATATAGCCTAATTTACAGTCCACTGAGGGAAGCCAAGACAGGAACTCAAACTGGTCAGGAACTTGGGGCAGCTGATGCAGAGGCCATGGAGGAGTGCTGTTTAATGTCTCAGTCTTCATGACTTGCTCAGATTGCTTTCTTATAGTATTCAGACCACCAGCCCATGCGTAGCACCATTCACTATGGGCTGGATTTCCCCCACATCAATCATTAAGAAAAGTCCCTGTAGGCCTGCCTGTAGCCTAATCTTATGCAGGCAGTTTCTCAATTGAAGTTTCCTCCTCTGAGATGACTCCAGCTTGTGTAAAGGTGACATGAAATTAGCTAACATGGCCACCAAAATTTTCCTTGAAAACATGCTATCCATTTGAGTTTAGACCATCATCCATTATGGCTTTTTCACTAAGCACAATGCACTTGAGACTCACCCATGTTACTGTATGTACTTGTAGTTTGTCCCTTCTTGTTGCTTAGAAATATTTGTGTATGTGTGTGTTTGTGGATACAGTTTATATAACGGTTAAAGGATATTGACATTGTGTCCAGGCTGGGGGCATTATGTATAAAGCTACTATATACATTCATTAATGGCTTTTGCTTGAACACAAATATTATTTCTCTTGTGCAAATACCTACAAGTGAGCTAAGTATGTATTACAAGCATGTACTTGGCCTTGTAATAAACTGTAATTTTCCAAAATGTTCGTACCATTTTGTGTTTGATGGTTTAAGTTTTTCTGCAACTCTAGCATTTGGTAACTTAGTATTACTAGGTTTTTATTTATCTTAGTTGTCTTAGAGCGCTGGTACTCAACCTTTCTAATGCTGTGATCTTTTAATACAGTTCCTCATATTGTGGTGACCTCTAATCATAAAATTATTTCATTGCTACTTCATAACTGTAATTTTGCTACTGTTATGAATCATAATGTAAATATCTGATATGCAAGGTATCTGATAGGGGTCATGACCCACAAGTTGAGAACCATTGTCTTAGAGGATACTAAAATAATTTCAATTTAAACCTGGATTGGTACATGGCCCCAACAGCTCCTATAGATAGTAAACAATATCCTAGCTTGGAATGGAAATAAGTTATAACCTAAACTAAGAATGTACTGTTGTCAATGTTTTTTGGGTTAGGGGTATGGTGCTGGCTAGTTTTATGTCAGTGTCTTAGTTAGCTGTGAAGAGACACCATAACCACAGGAACTCTTATATAGGAAAACATTTACTTGAGGCTGGTTTACAATGCAGAGGTTTAACCCATTATCATCATGGAGTGAGACAGCAGCATGTAGGCAGACATGGTGCTGGAGAAGGAGATGAAGTTCTACATTTTGATGTGTAGGTAACAAGGAGACTGCGTACCACACTGGGCATAGCTTGAACATATGAGACCTCAAATCCTGCCTCAGCAGCAACAGACTTCCTTTATCAAGGTCATACCTACTCAAACAAGACCATACCTCCTAATAGTGTTACTCCCTATGGGCCAAGCACTCAAATACATGTGTCAGTTAGGAGCCGTACCTATTCAAACTACCACATTCAGCTTGACACAAGCTAGAGTTATCTGAGAGGAGGGAACCTCAATTGAGAAAATGCCTCCATAATATCTGGCTGTAGGGCATTTTCTTAAGTAGTGATTGATAAAGGAGGGCCCAGCTCACTGTGGGTGGTACCATCCTTGGACTGGTGGGCCTGGGTTCTATAAGAAAGCAGGCTGAGCAAGTCATGAAGATCAAGCCAGTAAACAGCACTCTGTGAACTCTGCATCAGCTCCTGCCTTCAGGTGTTGTAGAATATTATTTCAAGGTGTGTTACTTTTGTTTATGCTCTGAAATGTTTGTCTAATGGTGCAAAGATGTGTTTGATTAAATCAAATTCACCTGCCATCAGGAGGCTGCATCAGCTACTAGCTGACAGGAAGTGGTAGGGAGGAGCCAGGTGAGAAAGGGTTTATAAGGAGGGGTGAGGAGCCCCACAAGGGCTTTTTGGAGGATGCAAGCAAGGAGGGGAGGGGAGCTGCTTGCTATTCAGCCTCTCTGAAGAGCAGAATTCCACCTTAACCTTTGAATCTTGAGTTCTTTAGAGGGAGAGAGGTTTATTTAAGTTCCCTTCGTAGCTTTGCGAGAGTTGGAGTGGAGGGAATAGATTTCCCTCCAGCTACAGCCCTTGCAGCCTGACCAGTGCTGGTAGTGGTGCAGTTGCAGTTGCTGACTCAGACAGCTGTGGCTTAAAAGGCAGAAACCATTAAAAAAGGACAACATTCAGGTTCCTGTCCTGACTTCCTGTGATGGTGAACAGTGTGGAAGTGTGAGCCGAATGAACCCTTTCCTCACCAAGTTGCTTTGGTCGCTGCTGCTTTTCATCACAGCAATAGTAACTCTAAATAAGACAGGTTGCTTAATTTGAGTCAGTCTTCCTATGTAGTCCAGGCTTGCCTCAAGTTCCCATTCTTCCTTCCTCAGCTTCCTTAACGATGCCATTATGGTTCTGTATCCTTAAAGCCAGGATTAGAGAATATCAAGCTACTAAATCTCAGCCAATCACAACCTTTGAATTTCAGCCAATTGCAGGCTGCAAAAGTTACTCACTTTGATCAACCAGGTGGTTCTCCCTCCTCCCCCTTCCCCTCCTCCTTTTTCTTTTCTTAGAAACACTTAATAGTAATTTTGAAAAGTGTTCCCATATCCTAGTATCCTGTGGGTTTTTAACAGTAAAGACTGTTACTTGTGCAAACCAGAATCTGATACAAACTAAAGGGGACAGCCTTGCCAATAAGTAAGATAGTTTTTCCATGAGGTTGGTTCTTATGCATAATATTACTTTGTCTGTGAATGTCACCTGCACCTGTGGTGTGTGTGGCTTAACCGTCTTTGGAATAATGTGTGTTTCTATAACTCCTTTTCATGGTCAAATATACTTTGTTAGATTTAACTGGTCTCAGTTTTTCTTTTGAGAATTAGTAATGTCTCAATTGTGGCCTTAGTTTGCATTTCCCCAGGGACTAATGCTACAGAGCTGGTTTCATGTGCTAACTTACCATGTGTTTCTCATTTGTAAAAGTCTTCACGTCTTTTGTACTTTTGAAAAATTGGGTATTGAGATATTTTCATCTTAAGTTTTTTTACACACACACACACACACACACACACACACACACACACACACGCATGAACACATGCATGTACTTTTTTTTGTCAGTAGATTTCAATATTTGCCCTGGGTCTCTGCCTTTATTTTTTTATTCTCTTAAAACTCTCTTTGGCAAAGCAAACTTGTTTTTAACTTTGATGAAGTACAATTTTTTCCTGTTATAGATAATACATTGATGGTATGTTTAAGAACTCTTCCTAGATCAAGGTCATAAAGATTTTCTCATGCGTTCATTTCCCTCCAAGTCTTAGAACTTCCCATTGGTATTTAACCCTGTTGCTCATTTTGAGTTAATTTCTGTCAGAGATAGTGTCTGGCTTCACTTTCTGGCATTTGGCATTGCACTGTTTGTTAAAAAGACAGTTCTCCACCGAATTACCTTTGCACCTGTGGCAAAAATCAATTGACTGGTATCTGCGTGGCCTATTTTTGGCCTTAGGGCTCTGCATCGACCTGTGTGTCTCTTCTTCGTCAGCACTGCACAGTCATGTTTATTGTAACTTTACAGTAGAATCAGCTTTGGACCATCACTGCTGGGAAGATTGTGAAGTACCCTAGCCAATTTTCCTTTCAATAGTCTTAAGCAAATGAATTATTTCTCAACAATTTTACTGTCTCTTAAGTTCAACTTAGATACTGATTATAAACCTAAAATAAATGGCAGCCATTTCTCTGTTACCCCTTATTGGATAGTGTGAGATCTCAGTCACTGTGGCATTTATGTTGTGTTTTTCCAAATCAATGTCAAAACAACAACAACAAAAATTACAAGAAAACCATCTACTAAACTCTCACCTCCAAAACTTCCTTTGAGGGGCTTCCCAAGAAGTCGCCGCCTCTGACAGGCCCTTGCATCTGCCTGAGCAGCCAGACCGTGGTCATATCTTACCAGTCATTAATAAGCAGGTTCCTGTCTGGAGGAGTGGCTGTTGGTGGGGCCCAGCTGTTATGACTCACTCTGTTTAAGACAGCCTTTGAGGAGTGATATTTATAAGTGAAACTGAATGATGTCTGATTGGGAGAATTTTCTTTATAAAAGTAGTTTGATTTCTAGTGCCTGGGAAATTGAACTTTCTGTCTTAGCAGCTATCCTCCAATTTCCATTCTGTGTGTGAGCTTAGTGAATAGATAAATGTTATTTTCATCAAGTATTTGTACCAGCTATTATTTTCTCCCTGAAAAACAAACAAGCATTTCAATTTCTTAAGAAAGAAAATAGAAAAAGACAAGAAAATACTTTTGCATTACTTCTTTTTTTTTTTTTTTTTTTTTTTTTTTTTTTTTTTTTTTTCTAAGCTTTTGTTTTTTTGTTTTTGTGTGTGTGTGTGGCTGTGATCTGTTTGTTACACCTGGATATGGTGGGAGAATTCTTGGGCTTCTCAGGCAATAGGTCTTCATGCCTTGAGAGTATGCATGCCTTTC